CAGGGGGCCCCCCCCTGGGGGGCCCCACGGGTCCCCCAGGGGGGCCCCCAGGGGGCCCCCAAAGCCGCGCGAGGGGGGCCCCCAGCAGGGGGCCCTCAACAGAGGGGCCCCTGCCCTGGGGGCCCCCGTGCTGCTGCACTCGCCGGGGCCTGCAGGGCCTGTGCTGCCGCAGCAGTTTCAAATATATACCCCACCAGGTGTGCAAGAACCTGCTGCTGCTGCTGCTACTGCAGCTGTGTCTCCTAGCCTCGCCTCCAGCTGCCTCAGCCCGTTTGTTTCCTCATCTCCCTGTCTCAGCAGCAGCAGCAGCACCTTAGAAAGCAGCAGCGCAGCAGCAATTAGAGAGGAGGAACAAAACAGCATTCCGGCTGCACCGCTCAGGCCTTCGCCGCAGCAGCAGAAGCAAAAGCAGAAGCAAAAGCAGCAGCAGCAGCAGCAGCAGCAGGAGGACTGGATGGACTTATCGACGCAACAGCGCAGCACTGCAGGCACTCAGTTGCCCTCTTGCCAAGATTCTTTGTGCAGCTTCGAATGCCAAGAGCAGCAGCAGCAGCAGCAGCAGCAGCAGCAACTGCAGCAGCTGCAGCAACACTGCCCAGACCTTGTTGCCAGTGACGCTGCAGAGCTCAGTGACCTCACGCTGCCCACAATGCGGCGAAGCGCGCAGCAGAGGCAGCTCTCGCCAGAGCAGCAGCAACTGTCTGCTGCTGCTGCTGCTGCTGCACCCGGGCGTCCGTCTGTGGCACAGTCACCTGCTGCCTCGTGCACTTCTTCCCGACAGAAGCAGCAGAAGCATAAGCAGCAGCAGCAGCAGCAGCAGCAGCTTCCGTTGCGGCGGCAGGCGCAGCAGCAACGCCCGTCCCAGACCCCCCCAATGTACGAGGGAGCCAGAGTAGCAACGCCCGCAGCAGCTACTGCTGCAGCAGCAGCAGGAAATGCTGCTGCGGTGCAGCAGTATAGAAGGAGCCTCCTGCAGGTCTCTGCAGCGCCGCAGCGGCCCTCCAGCTGCCCCCCTCAGGGCCACCAATTGCTGCTGCTGCATCCTGCTGCTGTGCTGCTGCCTCAAAAGGTCCCTGTTGCTCTGTGTCCGCTGCCGATGCAGCAACATCCGCCTGCTGCGGCAGCAACAGCAGCAACACTGATGTGGACCCCGAAG